TTAGCCAACAGGTACATTCAGGTTACTGCATATCCACAGTGACAGCCAGTTTTATTCCATGTAAGGAGTTCAAAAATAGCCTAAGCATAACAACAGAAGTGAAACAGCATGATATAAAAAATATGTTATAGAAAAATCACAATTTGATGACTGGAAACTTAAAACTTGAAGCGACAAACAAAAACAACCCTGATTACTGCATGACTTGGACAAAAAATAAATATAAAATTCCAGCAATAGATTTTTTTAATTTCCAGGACTCATGGGAATCCTGTATACTGTATATATATATATATATATATATATATATATATATATATATATATATATATATATATATATATATATATATATATATATATATATATATATATATATATATATATATATATATATATATATATATATATATATATATATATATATATATATATATATATATATATATATATATATATATATATATATATATATAGATATATATATATATATATATATATATATATATATATATATATATATATATATATATATATATATATATATATATATATATATATATATATATATATATATATATATATATATATATATATATATATATATATATATATATATATATATATATATATATATATATATATATATATATATATACAGGGGTTTCCACAGCGGAATGAACCACCAACTATTCCGGCATATGTTTTACACAGTGGATGCCCTTTCAGCTGCAAACTAGTACTGGGAAACATCCATACACACTCTCACACAACGGACAATTTTGTTCATTCAATTCACCTATACCGCATGTGTTTGGACTGAGAGGGAAACCGGAGCACCTGCAGGAAACCAACGCAAACATGGGGAGAACAGGCACACTCCACACAGAAATGACAACTAGCTGTGAGGCAACAGTGCTAGCCTCTGAGCCACCGTGCTGCCCCTTCTATATATTCTAAAATTAAAATACAAATGTAATATATTTTAACTATTTAAACTATTCTAAAACTCTTTTAAAGGGACTTAGCCGAAAAGAAAATGAATGAATAAAACTATTTTGATAAATACAATTCACAACCCTCAACACTTAATCTCAACAAACAACAGACGTGAAAGAAAGACGTCAATATTCTCCATTGTCCAGTACAAAACAAAGACGGATCTAAATAAAACTCTAAAATGAGGGGAGCACATGGAACAGCAGGTCCAGCAGCACAGGTTTACATTTGCACTGGCTTTCCAGTCTGCCACTGTTTTGCCAAGTAAAATGAGTCCAGAAGAAAAAGCACAGACATAGCAAAAAAACAAACCCCTTTTATAAAAGCTCCTACTTTTGAGGGGAAAAAAACAAGGATGTGAAATGAGCCATGTTTTGATCCTCAGCCAAAAGTAACACTAAAGTCTGGTGAAGGTGGGGGCTGCACTATGAGCCGCACTTGCACATTCCTCACCGCCTCACTTCCTGTCTGTGGAAGCAGGTCAGTTCAAATCCATTCGCTTAAGAGTCAAAAGTAATTCAGGTATTGAGTTGACTAACAATACAACACCTCGAGTGCTCTACAGTGTATTAAGTGATCTCCAACAGGGTCTATTTGCAAACAGTCTCAAAACAACAGCCCTATTTTTACTTGACTCTATATTTGGGTTGTCATGTAAAATAGATTTTAAGAAAAATGCTCCCCAATCTCTCCACCCCCCAACACCCCCAATTTAAACAGATGGTCTGTTTAACTGTTTTCTTGATAATTAAATGCTCAGTTTTTTCACTTACACTTACTTTGCGTCATGTAAATAGCAAATGCGCTTATGGCGCGACACAACTGGCTCTTAAAGGCAATGGGAGATGAGACTCTGACGTTGACCGTCAAAATAGAGCCCAGAGACTTAGAATATTTTGCGGACCAGAATCTTTTTTCCAAAACACAAGTCATGAAAACAAAACTCCAATAGTTTAAATACAATTGTCACCGTTAACAGTTATAAACCTGCATTTCTGTCTTTTTCATTTGCCATTCTGATCTCTTTCCTCAAAACTGTGACATAAACTTGCATTTGTGAATTATTATATCAAATTCCAAAGGGGGAGAGGCAGTGGCGCAGTAGGTAGTGCTGTCACCTCACAGCAAGAAGGTTGCTGGGTCGTTGGTTTGAACCTCAACTCAGTTGGCGTTTCTGTGTGGAGTTTGCATGTTCTCCCTGCCTTCGCGTGGGTTTCCTCCGGGTGCTCCGGTTTCCCCCACAGTCCAAAGACATGCGGTACAGGTGAATTGGGTAGGCTAAATTGTCTGTAGTGTGTGTGGATGTATCCCAGAGATGGGTTGCGGCTGGAAGGGCATCTGCTGCGTAAAAACTTGCTGGATAAGTTGGCGGTTCATTCCGCTGTGGCGACCCCGGATTAATAAAGCGACTAAGCCGACAAGAAAATGAATGAATGAATTCCAAAGGGATAGAAGACCCCTTTTTAGTTAGTTATTTCATTTATATAGCACCTTTTTTACAACACAACGTTGCCCAAAGTGCTGAACACAATCAATTCTAAATCAAATAAAACCTACATCACATACATAACAATTAAAACATAACTCGCCAGTTACTTATTTAATGCATGTTCCTGTAAGAAAACATTGTAAATATTGGAAATCCGGCGACCGCGATAATCAAACCCTTGGGAACAACAGTGGTCGGAACCAAAGTTCACAGGTCTGTGCAGCCGAACCGCGTCATAGCTCATTACCATAAAGTTAACTTGATTTCAACTATACTCAACGCCCACACCGGTGAAGACGCGCCGAGCTGCTCCTCGCCGCTTATTGCCGTCGGCTCTCATTGAAAATGTATGACTTCTGGCTACTTTGACGCTCTCGCCGCATTCAGTGTGAACGTACGGTAACTGTCAGTGTCACATTTTTTGATTAATACAATGCATGCTTGCTAAACAAAAGTACTAATTTCTTCAAAAACAACAATTACTCTCACTGATGCCAAACTTTTGAACAGCAATGTATATGAATAAAGCGTTTTACCTCAACACTCTCCAGTGAGGTGGAGCGTCTGAGCTTGGCTCTCCTCACACCATTTGCTTCCACTTTATCAGTCCCAAATGGCAGTGAATCTGAGTCTGCTGTCAGCTTTAAGTCAGTCTTGTCTGGCCGTGAGCGTCGCCCGTACCTTTTGGTTCCTTTCACATATTTAGGCTTCACCTCCTCTGGGACAGCTGGAAGTACAGGAAATGATGCTTTAGAGTTACAGATAATAAAAGAATTCGACATGAAGAACAAACTAGTGATAGCAGGTCAACATTTGTTTATCTATGTCATGATCCCTCTCATGAACAGAAAAATGTGTTAGAAAGGAAATGAAAACCTAAAAGGAACATCTCCAAACTCAGCGTCAACATCTGCTTCTTATCACAGCATTCAGGCTGCACTATTTTTAAAAGATAATTTTAGCACTGATATTTCACAACATAGATTAATGTACCAGTCTCCGAAATGATAAAACACCTTATTTTGGCTTTGCTTAAAAAAGACCTGCGCAATTTAATATTATTATATTCCTGTATTTCAAGAATTACATCGTTATTACTAACTATAATTGTGTATGAGTTCATGAACATGTTAATAATTAATGATATATTCTTGCACAATGTCTTCAATTCAAATAAACTCATAAAAAAACAGCAGAAAATCAGCATAAAGATGATCTAATCCTATCTCAAATAATGACTGTTCTATTTTCTTAGATTAGATTAGATTAGATTCAACTTTATTGTCATTACACATGTACAAGTACAATGCAACGAAATGCAGTTTAGGTCTAACCAGCAGTGCAATAGCAGCAAGTGCAGGATACAGGTATAAGTTATAAAGTGCAGTTATAGAAAAAACTATGGTGATATTTACAGATGGATGTACTATCAGCATTATATACAGATTGTATTAGCTATGAAGAGATTTACAATAGATGAATATGAACATATGTACAGGTTTTAATTAATAATCAGAAGTGTGCAGATAAATAAACATAATTACAAATGTATAAGTACAGTGGGTGTGTACAGAATTACAAATGTCCGTGTGCAGCGGGTATGTACAGTTCAAATAAGTAAATCAGTGTACTGTAGTGCAGTAAATATGTGCAAAATTTTAAATGTGCAGATGTTAAATTTTAAATGTGCAAATGTTAAACAGTGCAGTGATTGTGAGGAGTTTAAGTTAGAGCAGAGTGGAGGGTGTATTGGGGGGCAAAAGAGTCAGTGAGGGGCAGAGTTCAAGAGGGAGACAGCTCTGGGGAAAAAGCTGTTCCTCGGTCTGCTGGTTTTTGTCCGGGGGACCTGAAGTGCCTGCCGGAGGGCAGGAGAGAAAACTTCAGAATACTGCATGCTCGGCGCAGACAGTGTTTCCTCTGGATGTCCTCTATGGCTTGCAGTGTGGTCCCTGTGATGCGTTGGGCAGTTTTCACCACCCGCTGCAGTGCATTACGCTCAGCAACAGAGCAGCTTCCATACCAGACTGTGACACAGTTTGTCAGGATGCTTTCTATTACCTTTGTGTTCCACTTTTTAGTAAACCCACAATGTATAAAATAAGAAAGTGACTCTTTTAAACGTATGGATCTGTTTTCCATTGCATAGCAAGATGTCAAAAAGTAGAATTTTTAAATGATACTAGAGCCTTTTACATCCAAATATATTTTGCATTGTTTTGACATTTTTACAAGGGTAGTTTTTGGTGTAAGTAATTTTTCTTTAGTGTCAGAATTCCTACTAGGCATATATGTTAATGGTCAAACATATTTATTGTTTTTTTGTTTGTTTGTTTGTTTTTTTTGCACACTAAAAATTTAGGTCAAGCAGCATTTTAAAGAACGAAAGTTTTAGAGAAATTAGTTTCTTTTATATTTGACATAAATTATTTATATTGTGACATTATTTACTCGCCCTTAACAAGTTCCTAACCTGTTTAACTTTATTTTGTTCTGTTGAACACAAAAAAAAATATTTTGTCGAAAGCCGTAAAACCTGTAATTATTGACTTCCATAGTATTTGATGCCATGTAAGTCAATTCAAGAGTTCACACTTAGACACTGTTTGACAACTTGTTAGCAAGTTAGCAGGTTTGGCATGCTGTCCCGGGAGAGAACCCTGAGCTCGGAGATAGTTGAGCCCAGGGCTCCCGCCAGGTCCATAATGCATGTGAGGGGAGTACGAGGTCAGGTGTTCTCGAGAGCTCCCAAAAGAGGAGAAGGAGGAGAAGGGGTGGATGGGGGGTTTCTTCGGAAAACGAAGATAAGGGAGTAGTTCTTAGCTAGGTTACTTATAGTGAGTTTGGATCAATCCGATTGGCTAGCCAATGAGTGTAGATGAGTGGCCAGCTGCAGTGAATCATATCACGTGCTCCTCTCGAAATTAGTTTGTGAAACTTCATTTGTTACAGGTATTCAACTTTTTCCAAAACATCTTCTTTTGTGTTGAATTTGATACAACTTGAGGGAGATTAAACAGTAATTCAAATTTCAAACTATCCCTTTAAATATGAAAGCTAAAACAAACCCACAACAACAGTCACTCAGCATGCATTTTTAATCAAGTAATGAGATTTAATATGAATTAACTGCATTATAAACACTGTTATTGTCACTGGTGTTGCATATTGTTAGAACACAGTGTCAAAGTTTGATAAACTACCCTACACAAACCTTGAGTCCACAAGGTCCAGACTCACTAGTACCAAACATCTTTAAGATAAACACAAGCCTGAAAGCTCTGATAAGAGGTTTGTGAAGGCCATTTTCTATTTGAGTACCTGGTTCAAGATAGCTGCTCTCCTCCTCTGAAGTACTGAAGTCCAGCGACCTTGACAACACAGCCACAAAGCCCTCTTTAAACTCCTCAAAATTCACCTGGAAAAAGAAAACATTTTAACATCTACAACATAACACCGATAGGATGAAAGGCATCGGCGTCTTCGCAAGGAACGTCTTACCCTGGCATAATGTTGTGGTCCTAGAAGAGTGTCCAGCAGCAAAGGCAGATGGGCATCTAGGCTGAGCTTGTGGCATAGAGCAGTGAGCTCCTCTTTGTCGAGGTAACCCGTACCAGTGGTGTCACAGCTGTCAAATTCATCCTTCAGCTGGGCCACATAGCGGTTCTGCTCATCCTCGTCCATCCCACCACATACTGCACAGCCAGCAAAGTCTGTGACATCAATGTAGAATTAAGAATGGTTAACAAGACCAGTGGTCAATTCCTCATTACTGCAGCCTGATGCATGAGACTCGCTAGCCTATATAGAGAGAGTAATTGATTGAATAGATATGCTTTATTGATCAGTTGGTCCCACTTTATATTAAATGGACTTAACTAATACTTACACTAAAATGAATAATTTGTTATAATGTACTTATTGTGTAAATACATTTTAACATTGTACTTATGATTGACTAAATACATGCATTTGTAATCCATTTCTTTGATTACACCTTTGTACATTGTGTTTATTTTTTGATGCAAGCGCATAGTAGTTAAGGCCAATTAATAGAAAGTGGGATTGATCAGTTAACCTAATTTTAATTTCATTTATTAGTTTATTTTTTGTTGAATGGTTGTGTTTTGATGACAATTTAGGGAGTATGGAATATATATTTATACACAAAATTGTATTAAAAACTATGGGAAGAATTGTTGAAGAATTGTTGAATTTTTTTTCAAATGATGTTTAACAGAGCAAAAAAAAAATTCTCACGGTATTTCTGATAATGTTTTTTTCTTCTGGAGAAAGTCCTATTTATTTTACTAAAAAACTGTTTTTTAATAATAATAATAATAATAAAAAAAACATTTTAAGGTCAAAATTATTAGCCTCTTTAGGCTACTTTTTTCGATAGTCTTATACAATAACTTGTCTAATTACCCTTACCCGCCTAGTTAAGCTAATTAACCTAGTTAGGCCTTTAATATCACTTTAAGCTGTATAGAAGTGTCTTGAAAAATATCTTGTAAAATAATATTTATTGTCACCATGGCAAAGATAAAATAAATCTGTTATTGGAAAAGTTATTGAAACAAATCTGCTCTCTGTTAAACAGAAATCAGGGGGGAAAAACACAGGGGGGCTAATAATTCTGATTATATATATGTTTCTTTAATTAACCAGATTAAAAAACCCATTGAGATCAAGATCTCATTTACAAGGGTGAACTGGTCAAGAGGTCTGCAAACACACGACTTATGAAAAAAAATATATATATAATAATAATAATAATAATAATAAATAGAAAATTAATATAATACGAAAATACAGTTTAGTTGTTCAGCACATTACATTTTAATTTTATTTTAATATATTTAAAAAAATATATTGAGAAATGGACTGCTGTTTGTTAAAAAGGATAGAGCGAAACAATGTAATTGGGATGAGCTCAGACATTTTTAGTTCAGACTGAAGAGTATTCCAGGATGAGGGGGCGGCATGACTAAAGGTTTGCTTTCCTATTTTAGTTCGAACCTGGTGAACAGTCAAACGATAAGATTCACTTTAACGTAGGGCATACTGGCTTCTTGACTTATGAAGAAGGAAATTTAGGTATGATGAAGGCACCAGTCCTAGAAGAGCCTTGTAGACCATCCAGTGGGTGTACCTTCTTACATTCAGAGAAGGTCACTCAGCTTTGGCATACAATTCACAATGGTGAGTAAGTCTCTGACAGCCTGTCACAAACCTTAGAGCACTGTGATAGACTAAGTTTAAAGGCTGAAGACATTTGGTTGAAGCATTCATATATAAAAACATCCCCATAGTCAAGCAATGGTAAAGATGTCGCAGAAACCAAATGTTTACGAGCTTCAACTGTGTTTATACACAGATAAAGTCAGAATTATTGGCTCCTCAGAATTATTAGGTCGCTTGTTTATTTTTCTCTAATTTCTGTTTAATGGAAAAAAGATTTTTTTTAAATACATTTCTAAACATAATAGTTTTAATAACTAATTTCTAATACTGATTTATTTGATCTCTGTCATGATGACAGTAAATAATATTTGACTAGATATAAGGGGCTAATAATTTTGTCCCTAAAATGGTGTTTAAAAAAATTAAAAAACTGCTTTTATTCTAAAAGAAATAAGACTATTTCCAGAATAAAAAAAATATTATCAGACATACTGTGAAAATTTCCTTGCTCAGTTAAACATCATTTGGAAAATATTTTAAAAAGAAGAAATTTCAATTGGGCTAATAATTCTGACTTCAACTATATATATATATATATATATATATATATATATATATATATATATATATATATATATATATATATATATATATATATATATATATATATATATATATATATATATATATATATATATATATATATATATATATATATATATATATATATATATATATATATATATATATATATATATATATATATATATATATATATATATATATATATATATATATATATATATATATATATATATATATATATATATATATATATATATATATATATATATATATATATATATATATATATATATATATATATATATATATATATATATATATATATATATATATATATATATATATATATATATATATATATATATATATATATATATATATATATATATATATATATATATATATATATATATATATATATATATATATATATATATATATATATATATATATATATATATATATATATATATATATATATATATATATATATATATATATATATATATATATATATATATATATATATATATATATATATATATATATATATATATATATATATATATATATATATATATATATATATATATATATATATATATATATATATATATATATATATATATATATATATATATATATATATATATATATATATATATATAT